TCCAAGATGGCTGGTTGCAAAACATTTTTACATTTCGTAAATAATCACAAAATTTTTCCGCCCGAAATTGTTGTGCAAAATCGCGTCATCCCGCAGCGCCGCTACGCAAAATCAGGCGTCGTCGTCAATGGATCAAATACAATAGAATGACATTCAACACAGAGAAAGCTGTTTTTCACAATTTGAGGAAATGAATAATTCTCTTGCAATCGGTGCAAATTTCACCTTTTATGGTTCTTGCATGTGAGAAAGGATAAAGTAAACAGACCGTTAAAATCTAACAACAATTAGCTGTCTTCAGAATTGCGAGGTATGCAATTTTTCTAGAACTAACGAAGCTACGTATGCCAACAATGCATACATTCGATAGAATTCATGAAGTGCTGAATACAAATTGACGCTACTCAGAGAATATCAATTTTTCAAGCTAGAAATGACGTAGATAAAACCAACGCAAATAAATGCTAATTCCAATGCAATGAAATAAGAAATTTGAGACTCTTTTACCATGGATGGAGAGAGTTTTTTTCCACTCGCTTCAACTGGATCAATGCAAGTGCTTGCACTTGCATTGTGGTGTGTACTATCTGCACCAGTTTCTGCAAAGCACTGGTGGTTGCATGGGAAACGGGAAAAAGGATATGCTTGGGAAACAATCTAGGGCTATCAAAGCATATGTGGGGACATAGGTGAACATGAGGAAGGAAATGGTTCTGTTGTCGGAAATTTCTCAGACTTTCCGAGTTGTAATTATTCCCATGAATTTTCGGTCAACTCTTTGAACACCTTGGTTTGGATTCAAAAATTTTATAATAATAAAATTTTCGTTTTTGTTTAGGCTAATCCATATGGTCAGTCAAATCAAGCAGTATGTAGGTTTCGAAGAAGGCTTTTGGGACGGACAGTTTTTTTATGAGCCCGATAACTCCAAAAATTTGGAAAAAATCAAAATTCGATTCGATTGAAGTTTTCATGAAGTTACCCTATTTTCAGGTATATAAGCCGCACCCTTTTCGCTCTAAAGGCGAACCCGCCAAAAGACTGACTGTCACCATGGAGCGCGTTAAGTGAGAGCAGTATGCGATAAGGCGACCGCTTCGCGAGACTTTTGCGCAGCGGCACGCCTGGGTCTGCTCGCGTTTAGAACAAAAAGGGTGCGGCTTATACACCTGAAAATAGGGTAATTTGAATTTTTAGAAATCTTGAAAATTTATTGAAACATTTACATGAGTAAATCGTTTCCCATTTTATGTCTCATGTATGCTATATCACTTCTAGAAAATTTCTCGACCTTTGAGAGAAGGGTATAGCCTCTTAATCAATGACATTTTACAATTACTTCCAACGGCTTTGTTATATTTTTACTTTGTATCCAGAGAAAGTGCATTCCGTGCTCAAAAAAAAAGTCGTTATTTAATGTTGTAGTGTTTGCTAATTGCTTTTCCATTATTTTTCACTTTTGTTCTTGCTTTATTTGAATTCTCAAAACTTTGTTTTCATGATCAATATTCATTTATTTGTCTCAGCCTTTAGATTCCTAATTTTATTTATTCCGGTGTAAACTTTCATAAAATCATGTGTAAACTCTCAAAAATGTTCTTGGAATATACAAAGTAAATTTCATAGAAAACTGTGTATATTTTCGAAAAATTGTTATTGGAACATACAAAATTAGGACCTGTTTCAGAGCTGAATAATTCTATAAAAACGAGAAATACTGAAAATGCAAAATCGATGAACGAAACTAATTTTTGCCTAAAATGGCCACATTAGCCACTCTCTCTAGTATCTTCGGCTCCGAGAAGAAAAAATCAAGCAAAAAAGACTAATGCTTGCTGAATATCTGTATGTACGACAATCATTGCTACGCTACACAACCTCGCCCGGATCTCAACAAAAAAACCTTGACAAAAAAAATCTAAACGAATGACCTTGGAACAAATTGGCTACGTCGCCACACACACAAAGGCATTATATAGCCTGAGCTGTGATTATACAGTTCTCCCCTGGAAAATTGTAAATCGCAGTATATTTATGAGTCTTTATGTGTATATAGCGGTACGAGGAGGATATATGGCCTATAGTCGACAGGCGCTCTAGTCATTGCATTGATGCATAAATAATGCTGCGACGTGAGAGTGGAGTTCAGTGAATCCTTTGTTGGACATCTAGGTCCGTTCATTAATGGCAAACAACGTTGCATCGAAGAAGAGGGAAGAGAAGTAAACAAAGAGGGGGGGGGGCATGAAATTCGCCCTCTTTGAGAGAGGATGCAGCGACAAATTTAGGTTCACAACCTTTCTAGCAAGGGGTTGCGAACCTAGAATTTGTCACAAATAGCAGCAGAAGAGCGATACGAAAGCAGATATAGAGAGTTCTTGACCGTTGAAGAGGAAACGTTGTCTTATTGAATGTCCAAAGAGACAACCAGAGCAGCGGCAAGAGTGACTGCGGACGAGTTGAGTCCGGCATTGCGCCAGGCATGCAGAGCAGAATTCGCTATCTCGTGGGAGTTTTGCACGAATTCCGCTTCCGTCACAGTCAGTTCTCCTCGAAGTCTCTTAATTTTATGAAATTTGAGGAGCACAGATCAAGGAGATTTGTCCTTGAGAAAACCCTCAAAACGAGAAATTCAAAGAAGCCAAGAAACCACTTTTTATTAGAAAATTTTGAGAAAATTATATCCACGTCAATGAACAACATTGAACATGTGCTGTGTGTGCACTTTTCGTAGAGAAGCCATTTTTCTGCTAAACAAAGCGATTAAGGGATTGGGAAATTTTGGAATATGTTTAATGCAACGAACGAACGTTTTAAGCGTGGGAGTTTGCATAATACGCTAGCATAATCGTTTGAGAAAACGCCGTACAGGGTTTTTTCCAGAGCTTTTCCTGCTTTATTTTTTTTAGCGCAAAGACGCTGAGAAACTGGAGAACATCCAGTACTTCCTTCTTTGAGAGTATATATATCACCGGTGATGTTGTAGGATTATTCCCTATATAAGTTTTTTCTGCTTCTTTGCCTGATCAAACTTTACAGGCGAATACCTAAACAATTTAGCTGTATTCGTTTTTTTATTTTTTGGAAGATAACTTGTATTTTTCTATGACCTAAAAATATCGCTTTGACATTCGGATTGGAAATACCTAAGGCAAACGTTATCGTATTTATTGTTGCACAACTCTTTATAATTTCTTCGGAATACTACAGGTGGTGCCAGTGTTACACAAAATCAAACGAAAATAATTCGAAGCTTGCGTCGTATCATGCAAAAATTTTATTATCCTGTTGTAATATCAGATGTTTGGAATTATGGGTAGAACCATCATTTTCAAAAAATTCGACTTCTGAGGTGTCAAAAAGCATTCGTGCCGGAGTTTTCAGTTCAGTATAGGCTCTCTGGTTCATGAATATATTGGATAATTATAGAATTTCGAATTTTACAGAAATTGCTTATTCCAGTTGATTTTAAATTTTTATCAAGTGCTTGTCTGTTGAACCAAAAAAAGCCAATAATGCACTGAGGTTAAAACTTACTGTCAGAGGGAGGTTTCGACTCGTCATGTCCATATCCATCATGTCAGTGCTATTCTTTTTTAGCTTTCCAAGCTTCTTTTCCCGAGCGCTTACCGACTGTGAAACAGAATAAAATTCAATTTCTATTCCTCATTCAAGTCGATTCAGTCAGCAGTGAGACCTAACATTGCGCAATGGATAAAATTATCAGGCGGGGCTAGTAAAGTAGCATTCCAGCGCTCAAATTTGATTATGATGGTCATATATGCGGTGGCATGGCTTGGATAATCTCATTGCGAGCTGTGTTTGGGACAACGAATATGTTTCCTATTCCCAGTGGCACATATTGTACTAGTTGACTTACCCGGCTCCGCCCGGCCCTGTCATTATTATATTCGTAATCAGCATGCTCGATTACCCCCCTGTGCCAACTCCCAGCCTCGTAGCTCAAATTTTGCAAAAAATCGATAAAATCAATATCGATCGATGACGAAAAGTAGCCTCTGACACCCGCCGGGGCTCGAAGTGTATGTGTGCCAAGTTTGGTCCGGATCGGTTGAGAAATGGAATTTTCTATTCGCAACATACATACACACAGACATACAGACATACATACATACAGACAAACAGACATTCGGCTTTATATATAAGATGAAACAAGTAAGACATAGGATAAACAAATGAGAAGTAGTCATTACTTAAAATATTATGTTTATAGCTTCCATGCTTTTTCTAGCTAGTCAGTTTGTTAGATAGGCTAGTAGGCTGCGCAGTATTCACATATGCGAAGCTTCTGGGATAATTATTAGCTTTGCATGGTACAGCCAAGTATTATGAAAGATCAAATCAAGTGTAAGAAAAGCTATGCAGTTTCTTGACGAGACACCATGGGCCACAGGTGACCATGGCATTTTTCTAGAAATTTGTTGAAATTCATATTTATTCCTGGCCCTGTGTGATAGTATTGCAATAAACAGCTCTACAAGCTTTGACTTCTTTGTTAACATCATTCAACGATATGTTAATCCAGTTGCCTCAAATACACCACATTTTCAAACATTATTGGTTCTTGTCCTATTCCCACGTTCCTTATGATTGGTGGACAAGTGTTTTGGAATTTATTCAGCTTTGCCCTTCGTTTCCTCCATGGGTTCTGTTTCTCTTCCTCTAACAATTCCAGCAATAACCTTTTTGAGATATCCCTTCCGAATCAAACTACCAAACAATCTTGTGCATTACTTTGCTTGCGGAAAACGTAGAATATACTTTTTTGATTATTAGACAGTAGCAGTTTTACCTTCTCAGTCGCAATTAAGGCAACATAGTCTGATACTTGTTTTGTGTCAACGTTGAAAATTCGTTTTTATTCGATATACTCTTGACATAATGGATATAATAAGCTAATAATCAAGTGGTCTCTGATTGTAAAAAATATATATTGATAACAACGTAGAACTTTGAATATAGAACTTGTGGAGAACCCATGAATAGCAGCTTAGGATGAGGAACACTGACAAAGTGGACGAAACGACTCGGGAGCACAATGTCCTCGCTTTCTGTGGTCCCATCTGTTGAAAGCTGAGACAAGCTGAAAACCGGACGAGGTTCCCAGTACCTCTACCTTGAAAGTTACTACATTCGATTTTTTTCCAATAACATTAACACAAGTACATACTGACCGTGAATTCGCCTTTCATTGGTTTTAGCCTTATGAACATTGAATACAGGGTTGTGTTCACTCCAATTCGCAACTGTTGCGCGTCTAATGTCTTGAAATGATTTGTTCAGGTTGATTCTAGTCGTACAGTGAGTCTGCTTCAAAAGCAGTGTCCGTGCGTGCGGCTACCGCATGCGCAGCGCTGAGGACACGTGCGCGAATGGCATTCGCGAGGCGGGTGTCTCACAAACGCGGACATTGCAAGTAAAACAGACTGTAGAAGTTTTTCTTACCTGTTCATACTCCTGCTTGAGGCATGTATTCGCGAGCTCTGCTTTTGTAAGGTACGCATTCAGCTTGCTAGCAATGAATTCACCAATTTTTTGTCGTAAGCGTTCATCTCTAAACATTAGCAGAGTTTTCTGCAAAGCAAAATTTTGAAATACTTACGTCATTTCTTCCTTTTTGTACCGACAAAGACAGTATTCCACTGGTATTGGCAGATTATCACAAGTTCTCGATTTCATCCAACGTCTCAGTAAGGATGAACCTTTGTTAAACGCTGGGTTCTGAGCACCTTGAGTGATTGTCATGGATTTATCCTGGGAACAAATGGTTATGATCACTGACAGGGACTATGCACTGCGACAAGCGTACCTTCGATACAAATACCCAAGCATTCTGGTTACTTTCATTGCTGGAGGCGAAAGGAGGTACAAACTTTATCTGAACAAACAGAATCATCGACGATGAGATCCGAGACGTTGAGATAATTTGAGATGACTGTGAATGCATAGATTGGAATGCTAAAGTTTTTTGGCAAAAGAATGCACTTTGTTTGTATATTTGTTTGTTCATACATGTGAAAACTTCTTACGATGAGAGCGCTAAGATATACATCTTCCGCATGCAGTCGGGCAAGAAAAAGATGTATTTTTTGCAAAATTTCCGTAATGACATCTTCTTACCCTTTGATTCAACCAGATTGGCGGCTGAAAAGCGGGGCTTCGTGACCTAATCAAATCTAGAGAATGATCAGAGAGCACGTTCACGAAAGAGACGCAGGCTGCTTTGCGGACGCGAGCGGCCTCAATTAGGTCACAAAGCCCCGCCTTCCAGACGCGTAAATGGAAGATCTCTAACCAAATGACTACACTTTTTAGAGGAATTGCTTGAACAACTAAATATTAGTCATACGCCTGTTGATTCAATGAAACTTACGCGTAAAATATCCATCAAAGTGGCATGTATGTCGAAATGTGTCACTAGCTTCTCAGAATTCTGCTTGAGCGCTTGGTGAATGCCATTGTTACGTAAACCTTCAGGAATCGCAATAACAAGGAATGGATTTTTGTTATCATGTCGTCCCAAGCGAGTTTCTTGAACCTAAGGTACGAGTTTAGCAATTTACCATATCTTACATTGACAAAATTTTTTCCTAATTCGCAATCAAGCTCACTCCATCCGAGTGTGGTCCTTGATATCCCAAGAAAAAGAAGAATGCACTGCGCAAATTTTTCTGATTTCTTTCGAAGAATTTAAAGAAATGGTCATCGGCATGATATAAAGCTCCCATACTGCTTCTTGTCAGAGCTGCTGACCAAACGTACGCAATCTTTGGATGCCCTAGAACAAAGTTTAGCTTTTTGTGGAATGATGTCATAATAAGGAACCTGAATAAGCGTTCATAAACTTTTGGAGGTAGTCTAGCATGTAAAGATGAGATTCGCCACAAGTTTTTCCAAAGAGATTTTTCTTCAGGTCCTCCTCCTTTGCTCGTAGATCAAAAGGTCTTGAAAAAAATTTGATTGGATCGTTTATAATCAGGCAATGTGACTTTTACCTGTAAATGTGATCCGCTTCGGATCCAAACGACTTTTTACATAATTCGTAAGACTGTAAACCCGCTGAATCTTCTGCTATCATGGTCTGCAAAACTTTTTCGAAAGAGGGTCCTTTATTCGCAACCAATCTTTTTATTTCACTCTCCCATTTCGAAAGACTCCTTTTAACGAGTTAATGTGATAGTTAACCCGCTGAGATGAAAAAGAAAAGTAAATTTTGCCTTATAGCCCTTCTTTTTGTAAATATCCAAGAAACTTTGGAATTTTGTGTTTTCAGTGCATATCTGGTTCCAATCAGGAGGCTCAGCTTTTCTTCCAATTCGACTTACTCTTTTTATCGATTTTCCTAGAAAATGCACTTGTTTCCCAAAGGTTCTAGATCAGCACGAACATTCAACACTCACCGAACATCAAAGGAAATGCATTTGAGTGACTGTTGCCACCAACTTTGTTAAGAATAGGAAACTGCACAGCTTTCATCTTTCTTTGCAAAAAGTCGAGAGTTTTCGGCAGTGCTCTAGAGTTATAGGGTCAGAAAAGCATTTTTGTTCACAATAAATGAACCTCTTCGCCATCGAAGTTGAGACAGAATCGAGTACCAAAACGTACACATCTGGCAAATTTTTGTCAAAAGATTCGTCAATTTTGGAACTGAAAACATTCGTCTATCATCGATAATCTTGACCGATGAAACTAACTGTAAGAACCAACTTGATTTCTCTAATTTGCATATGCAAGTAGTGTTCCACGGACTCATTTTTGAACTGATCTTCTCGTACATTAGAATTTCCGGGACTTTCCTTCTTGATCTGACACATTGTTTCGATTATATCACAATCAAATGAGCCACTTATTGAAAGTTCAACTTCCGCGCCAACTTCGTAACTAGTGTGCGTTTTTGGTAGAATACACCTAGAAGAACACATTGAAATGAAGAAACAGAATCAGGATAACAAGTGATACCTAGCTCTGCATGTAGAATTTTCCGCTACTATTTCAAAGGTTCCGTCTATTAGCTCAGTCATTGGCTTGTATATTGTACAGTTCTGAAATATGTTGAATTTGTTGAAAAAATTCTGATAACCTTCGATTCAACTGGCTTGACTGCAAGAAAGCGGGGCTTTGTGACCTAATTAAGGCCGCTCGCGCCCGCGATGCAATCTGCGTCTACCTCGCGCGCGTGCGCTGATCATTATCTAGCCTTAATTAGGTCACGAAGCCCCGCCCAGCCGCCAAGCCAGATGAATCAAAGGGTAGAGTTCCTTTTTTCCGAAACAGTGCGTATTACAAGGGTAAGAATTTCATAGCAGAACAATTGAGGCAAATATCAGATTCAGATCAGATTTTCCACCTTAGATTTAGATTGGTGAAGTTCGACAACAGATGATAGTGGACCTCTCCATGAAGTCAGGTCCGAGTTGCATCGCAAAAGGTTGCTTGCAAAGTAAGAAATTTGCTCCGGTGAAGGGTGAGTGTGGCCGAGAGCTCGCAACGCCTCTCGGGGGAGCGCCCGCCCACTCAATGCTCCAGTTGACGCGTTTTCACCTAACTAGCACGGTCGATAAGCATACAGTGCAGCGGCTGTGCTTGTCATATTAGGAGGCGTCCTGCTTGCGTGTCACTCGTCCCTTGCCAAAAATGACCGGAAAGGTTTTTCACAAAAAAATTGCGGTTTGATATTCATAACCGAAATCACTGCGTATAGAGGTGGGGGGGGGGGACGATGGAAAGATCAGTGTTCTGAAATAGTTGACATACCTTTTTTGGATTGTAGTTGGGATTGTAGTGCATAAATTCTTTGGCCAGTGGATCTACTTCTTCCAAAATGCATTCATCCAATACTTTTCTGTATGACCTTAATCGGTCCTTTGCTGCTGACATTTTAGCCAAACCTTGCCTTCTGTGATGGCCTTTTATGTGATATCGTTTATAGTCTGTGTCACAAAGTGCATTAATTTATGGAGTGAGTGTTGATGAATGATCTTACCTACACGATGCATCTTATCACTATGCGATATGTAGAGAAACATTACCAGAAGATTGAGAAGTAGTAAAACTGTGATGGGGCATTTTTTATAGTCAATCATTTTGTCTCTGTGGGACCTTGAACTGGAATTGCTTGTTGGCTAAAAATGACTTTATCTTTAAGATTTCTGACAAGTAGTATAACATAAACAAATTACAGCATCAACTGGCTGACCTAGTGGAATCGACGAACCTGTCACGTCCTGCGCAATGTGCAGAAATGAAGCCTAGCTACAACATTCTTGCTGTATCTTGAGTTTTCGTGTCCATGACTTGTAAAACACATTTTATCGTGTTTGAAACATGCTACCACATCTTTTGACCCGTTTCACTTGTTGAAACGGAGTCAACTGTTATCAGAAAGTTCTGCTTTTCAATACGTTGTGTTAGGTAGTTGACCATTGGCAAACTTCTAATATCATCTTCATATTCTGCAGCTAATTTAAAATTCAAAAATTTCCAGCATATGAAAATGTTGAACCCAAATTGCTCAAGAAAGTACCCCATAAGGGAAGAGGAAATGGCGCCCACATATTCTGCATTATCATCATATTAGAAGAGATCTTGGATCTCGAGTTCACATAAAACGCCGATGATGACTTTTGATCTTTCCTGGGGGTTAGAACTGCGGAAAACACCAGAATCTACTTTGTACTTCTTATAATCTTTGAAAAGTGGTCCGAAGTAATTCTGGCAAGGGATTTGGAGCACTGGCTGCAAGTTTTGTGGATTACTATTTACGTAGAACAAGAGTTGCGCCCTTCCCCCTTTCCTTCCCCCCCCCCTCTCCAAGCGAAAGTTTCTTCTTTCTAAAAAAAAAACACCCTTATTGTTTCCGCGTCAACGCAACCTCAACATTTGCTATTAATATTGTCAAGACTTCGCCTTCCGAGCAAAACCTAGTATTTTGAAATCAAACGGCTTTTCTTATCGTTGAAAGAATAAAAAATTGGAAATTTCTGGTCCATGCTAGAGGGACCAGCTGGATTTTCTTTATTATTGTTAGAATATGCGCTAATTGTAGCGGGCAAGAATTTTGTGACTAGTCAGTGAACAGTATCGACCATTGAAAAATAAAGTGCTTAAAACATTTTATTCTATATATCTGTTTACTACTAATTGTGGGCGTGTTCTTATTCTATTAGTTTTTGACAGATAGACTATTTTTTTCGCAGTTTCCTTATGAAAGTCAAATGTGTGAACTTGTTATCCGTTTAAGAGTTGTTTGCGAGGCTTCTTTTTCCAAGCTATACTATTTGTCTAGTCATCTACTACTGTCTCTTTTATTTCGGTAATGCACGACAACATCGTTTATGACAACGTAAAAACTATTTTGTGGGCTGAAAATACATTAGTAGGTCTCAATATAGACAAGTGAGTAAACGATTTACGGGGTCGTAAAGCGAAGATGCAAATTTAATTAGGAAAAATAGAATTTTAGTAGCTTTGTAAAAACTGAAGTCATATTGCTTATTATCTCTGTCCACTTTTATTTCTTTGGTTCCTCCATATAGCTTGCTTCCAGATTTTTTTTTTCAGACATATCAGTAGATGAACATGTGTACCCCAATGCAAAAATTGTAGTCGAGGAGTCCATATTCTTTCGAAATACGTTTATTTGCATTAGAACTGAATCTACTTTCAGTTATGGACTCGAAAGTGAAGTGATTATGCCATCACAATTGTATCCTAATTCTCCTGAATGTCTAGATTTTTCATAGCAGTGTGTGTGCCTTCAAATTTACACTCCAGAGCGTAGCTGTATTTGTATTCAATAAAAAGGAAAAAAATCCCTTATGTTGTTATTTTGACAAACATATAGTTTGTAAACTATCATCTGTATAATAAAGGTTGTGTTTGGATAACCTTGAATCACACAACGACATTAACTTCGAGCAGAGGTCTCGTTTCTAGAATTCAATAATTCTGTTTCCTCCAAGTCAAAATTATGGAATTTGTCAAGTAAGCGTCGTTGCTTCCATAAAAGGCCTTGGGGAACATAGCTGCATTCACACGTAATTGGCAAGTAAGTGGACCTAGCTGTGGATAAAATATTATCTCGCCAATTTTTCCATTACGTTGATGAGTGATAGGCAAAAGAGTGTTGTTGTATGGCGCAGATGGTAAGTGTCCAGAACACTGCGGGTGTGACCAAGGGTTGGTTCTATCGTAGCTGAGAAACAGCATTTTGTGGATCATCTGGAACACTTCTATTGCACATTATCTCAAAACGTACCTCAAACTTGGGTAACTGAACCAAAAACTTGGAATAAAAATCTGCGAAATTTGATCTTTATCACGGTGCCAGTGCGATTGCCGTGATAGGAAAGAAGTTCAAAAAACAAAAGTGTGTAAAATAGCGCAGTGGTAAGGTGGCCGACTGTGAAGAAAAGCTTTAAGTGTTCAAAGCCGCTGGGTGATTAGTAAGTTGTGAAGGTATGTTTTTACAACGTATTGATGGGATTATTGTGCTTCTAATGCATCATTTCCTCACACTTAATGCCTAAATCAAAAGCATGCTAAATACGGAGCGGGAATATGGGGTACTCGATAAAAAGGTAAGCGAGTTGGGCGAGTGGGGCACCGCAGAGGGCAAAGCAGAAGCAAGCACCCCGGGGAGCCGAAGGAGGGCAACCCGAGGCAAGCAACCCGGCAGAATGCGCACAGAGGAGGGAGGCGAAAGAGCAGGAGGAGACACTCCGGGGAGAGGCGGGAAATGGAACCCCGGAAGCACGAGACACGAAGGCAAAATCCCCCAAAAAGAAAATAGGTGTGCTCAACGAAACCCTCCGCGACCGTCCCCAGCCGAAGAAAACAATTCCACTCTCGAAAATCCCGAGCCAACCCAGCACCGAACCCCGGCCGCCATCCCGACAGTCCAAAGCACTAATCACTTGACCAACCGACTGTTGTTTGGATATGATTCTTGGATTGTCATATAGCTTCACTAATCTTTGTTGTTAGCAAAACCAGCGTACAGCATGAACTCGAACTCTCTGCAGTATATACGATGTTCTTTGAGACCTAACACCTATCCACTTGACCATCCGGGCACATTAAAGACCACAAAGAAGTTCCTAGATAATTTTTGGAAACGAAGAACAATAGTAAAGTTTTCTAGTGGTCAAAGAACTACACAGAATAGTGCACGCTTGGACAGGTGGTTGGTGGCGCGGATTTTCAGCTTGACGTTCGAGGTTCGTCCTCGTTGGGGGTGAGTTCGATTGGTTTGCGGTTTTTCCCCTTTCTGTTCTGCTCCCTGCCGTCCTTCTTACCTTCCACTTCCATCCTGCTTTCCTTTGTGCTTTTGCTCCTGGTATCAACCCCTGTTTTCCCTTTTTCTCCTGGGCCCCCAGCTCACCCATGTCGCCACCTATTTCACTGAACATCCTTTTTCTTGTTTCGTATTCACCACACTTTTGATTTAAATGTAAAGTGTGAAGAAATTCTCGTTCAAATCATAATAATTTTTACCAATATGTTGATAAAACATTTAAGTACAAGTACTGATCGTCAAGCGGTTTCGAACACTTACCAGTTTTCTTCGCAGTTGATCATCTTACCACTGCACCATTAAAGATACTTTTTATCTTATGAACTTCTGGCTTATAGTCCCAACTACACTCAATGCTATGACAAAGATTTGGTTTTCGGAACTTTTTCCAGGTTTTTGGTTTAGTCACCCGCGATTGGAGTACCACTTGGGACACTGTTCAACAGTGTTCAAGCCAACAGATAACAAGACTCTCTACCCGGACTGTGACCGAACCTCCAACCATTTGTGTAAGAAAGCACACTTCCCACTGCACCATACATACACCAGCTTCTGATATGAGATTCTGCACAGCAACCCTAAGATAAAATGGGAGCAACAGCATTCCACTTCCTAAGGAATGCAACAATGTGAAATTGACTGTAACTTTGATTAATAGCAATTTTTCGGAATTTTTTTCCAAGTTTTTGGTTTAGTTACCCAAGGATTCGTCTAAACAACCTTTTTCTGTTTTCATTTTATACTGCATTCAAGTCAGCGTATCCAACAGTATGGCAATTACTAGGCACTTTTTCCCCATAAGAGAACAATTTAGATGCAAAAAAGGTTTAGCATTCATACAAAGAAAATTAAGACCTTTCAGTCACTGTCCATTGAAGTTTAGGTCTACAGATTTGCCGGGACAATGCGGTTATGCAAGCAAGCACGTAAACAGCAGAAATGCCCGAACTTTTCCATTTTTTTCTTTGTCAAAGTACAGTGTACCTATCAAACAATCGCATTAGAAGAACTGATACTATATCGTTTCTTGAAAATGAGTAAAATCCTACTCCTCGGTGATGAACAGCGACTAATGAAATGCTAGTCACTAGTGCTAGAAATAATGGTTATACTTGTTCAAGGTTCCCATCTAGCAACAAGCAGAAAGGAACTCGAAAGAGACTGACGAAATTCGTAGGCAAATTTTTCATTTTTCATTTTCAACAGTAAATTAAATCAATGTACAAGCATTTTCTTACTCGCCATAAAAAAAGCTTCGTGTTTTACTTCGAAAGTCATCACAATTAGATGGTGTGTTTTTCTTCCAAGTCCTCAACTTGCAACGAGCAGAGAGGAACTCGAAAGAGGCTGAGAAGATCCCCAAACAATTTTTGTCATTTTTCGCCTGATTAATCGTAAGGATTAATTAAAGTAAAAATCAAAGTATGAGTTTTATTCACACGGAAACTGTAGGACTGTGATGGCGGAAATATGCATGTTACTCAAGGTCGAACAAGCTCTTCCCAAAGGTAGATGAAGGCACAAAGTCTTCGATGCTTCCCCACCAGAGAAAACATTTTTTAAGTTAGCTTTGTTTCTTAGAACAATAACCTATGACCTGCATTCACCGCTTCATTCAATATACTTTCAGTATGCAGAGATAGCATGATATTTATAGAACTTTCACCAACAGCAACAACAATATCTTAACAAAACTCAACAACTAGAAGATCTTGTACATTTGCACATCTCAACATTTCGACGACATCAAACATGGCATACAGGGTGAACTTATCCCAAACACTGCGTTATCACGTTCAATACCAACGCAGAAGCAAGAATGCCAATTTGACAGTCTCACTCATACAGGGTGTCCCAAAAGTAAGTACACACTTTTAAATCGTCAATATTTCTCTTCCCAATGGGTCTTTTTTGACCACTAAGTACCATTGTGTAGAGGAGACTTCTACTTAGATTTACAGTATCGAGCGAATCACCGATCGCTCTTCGTTACTGTAGGATTACGGTAAGACTTTCGGCGTGGAACTTCTGTGAAATATGCCATCTGACAAAAAATTTTCAAAAAATCTGAAAAATTGTCTTACTAGGGTTTTCGCGCACATTGATTCCACTACACAACTTTTCACAACTGCTTTCAGCTTTTTTGATGGTAAAATCACACTTCTGACAAATACCGAAAATTCAGTTATAACGGTTTACCTGGGATAACTTTGGAAATAAGCATCACAGTAAAGTAGAAACTTCATATTCGAAATCAGCGGCTTCCATTACTATAGTATACGAGTTTTTGGCTTGTTTGGTTTTGTTCAGAGGCAGAATAAAGCCTCCAATGGCCTAAAATCCATGTCGAAATTCCTACCATAATAATAAAGTAATGAAAGGAGATTGATGATTCGCTCCATACTGCAAATCTAAGTTGAAGCCTCCTCTACAGAATGGTGCTTAAACGGTGGAAAAAGACACAATGGGAAGAAAGTTATTAACGATTGAAAAGTGTGTACTTACTTTTGGAACACCCTGTATTTCTCGCAAACCTTCGTCTAATATATAGAACTTCACAATTTAACCGACCTCCCTCGTGTATTATCCGCTATCGCAAGTTCACTGCAGATGTGCAACAATAGGAAATCAACTGTAATTTTCGATCAATCGGACTCAAAATCATCCGCAGTGAGTGGTTTGCTCATATATGGTCCATCCAATTCGTATCCGAGTTTCCTGAAGACGACAAATTACCCAGGACCACAACAAAAAGGATTAAATGCTTTTATGACACCTGTAGTAATCCCTCGTTCCAACGCCGGATATCACAACAATCTTCTCTGACTTGTGCTCGTAAAAAGCTATTCTTGCTGCCTCTTCCATGAGTAACTGGCCAAAGCCCTAAAAAAGCAAACGTCAAAAACAAGAAAAGGCTGTGGCATAATGGCAGACCTGATGCTGGAATTTCGATGGATCTCTGTCTGAGACTGACACCACAGAACCGTAAACATGCAGTTCGCGCACCACTGACGTCCGTCCCTTCAAGTTCAAACAATTTATGTGTGTACGCGGCTCGAAGGAATGTGATCGCGTTCAGGTTAGTTACCTTTAGCTCCGGACGATGAGCCTTGTTTGAGATCTTCCTCAACCGCAACAGTCCTATGAGGATGTCCTAAAAGAGAAATTTGTAGAAAAGACTCGCCCTCCAACGGCAAGAATTTAAAAATCAAGTGCACGATGCCAGATTGCAGATAAAAGCAAGGAAGTCACTACCGGACATTCTAAAAAGCAAGAAAAATGAAGAGAAGCGAAAAAGCAGGGTTGAAAATGGAGGAATGGACCCTATATATTGAAAAATTACCTGGTCGGGGTCCTCGTATGACAAAAATGTTTCCCATCCACCATTTGCGATATAGTCTCGTCGTATCAATTCGACATTATACGGTCTGATTTTGTTGTGGATTTCCTAAATAACTGATAGAAAAAATAAGAAAGGAGAAAGCTGTAAAGAATTGCGAACATGCCTGAATTCCAACTTCTCTCGTCCTCACATCTCTACAAGCCAAGCCAAGCTCTTTCATACGCGATAGTGCATGCTCTCTGAGATTGCCATGTTCCACTCCACTTGACACCTACAATGATTGCAAGGTAACCTCCAACGGTGAAAATTGTTGCAAACTCACTAGTGGCATCGGAATATCCCGTTGCACCCGGTATACACGGGTCCAGGGTGGAATGATGGAAAGAATTCGAGCTACAAGATCTACTAACACTGATGGAGGATAACTCTAGAATGGTAGTATTACGGACAGCAGTGATGAAAAGTTACAGAAAAACAGAATAAGGTAATGAAACGAAAGCTAACACATAATCAAGAAAACAGACCTTGTATCTTCCGGTCCTCCATAACTCATAGAGTCCTGTACCTCTAATCACAAGCGTGGGATAAAGTTTGAGACCGTCAGGTCGAAAGGCGGGATTCTGAAAGAAAAGAATCAAAGGAATAATGGATAGTACTATGCCTATGTGGGAGCTGACCTCAAACAACTCCACAAACTGTTCGATATCTCGCTCAAGGCCAACGTTGGGTAAATCTGGCATCATGTGAATCACGACTTTGTAGCCGGTATCTTTCGACATGTGAAATGTCTCGCAAACTGCTTTGACCTATGAAATATAATACATACAACGTTATAAAAACACAAAAGATGGAATTTTACTATGCCAAAAGCATCTCTCAATAATTTGAAAAAGATCAAGCAACAGTGCATGCTCAATAGACAAAAGAGAAGACTTACAGTATGTCCTCGATTCGTGTCTCGCGCCACATCTTCGTATGTCGATTGAACTCCAATTTCAAGTCGAGTGCAGCCATACAACAGCATATCATTGAGGTGACGAGGTAGACAGTAGTCTGGCCGTGTTTCAATCGTAATTCCAATGCATTTTATCTTGCTTCTCTCAGAGTAAGCTACTGCCTCAAATTGTATGAATGTAGAAAATATGCAGATAATCACTGGTCCCCACCTCCTTCACACTGTTCGATGTATGGCCACTGAGTGCATCGTGGAGATTACGTATGAAGTAATCACGATAGTCGTCAGGAAGGGACATAAACGTACCACCCATGACGATGAATTCAACCTAAAGCAAGATTTTCGCTTTGTAATTTGCGGAAAAGTTCAATAAGTTAAGTCAAACCTTGTCGATGGAATGACCCAACTGCAACAATTGTGACACACGTCCACGAGTTTGCAAAAAAGGATCATACCTGTAGGAAATACAAGAACCTTTTCGCAAGCATAAATTGCTTCCTCACTTACCTTGCCCTAATCGCTCTCATACTTGTTGGCTCGTATCCGGTGTAACTTTGGGTAGAATACTCGAAATCTGAATCTGGACCACCTGGACAATACACGCAAACATTCCCTGTGAAGTTGATGTGAGGACATCGATGTGGTTTCGACATCACTGCCACCACAGCAATACCGGACGCTGTTCGTACCGGTTTTGCTTTCAGTTTTGGGAGAAGAATCTCCTGGAAGATGTACAATTGAGCAGACAAAATTTTCAAGTTTTCAGGCGAAGAATCAGGAGAAAACGGAAAAAGAACTGATTGTAAAGGAACGGTACATACCTTAAATTCAGGTGGAACTCCAGCGATTATATCGACAAGCTTTGGCTGTGAGCTGAGTCCATATTTTTGAGCAATCTGGAACATGCTAAGTAGGCAGTAGTTTCACAGCAAATGAGTTAAGGAAAAGATTGCTTAAAAAAGCCCAAGCTAAGATATTTACTAAGGGTAGACAAAGGCAGAAACTGACATGAAACAAAGTGATAAACGCATAGACGTTCAGAATGTAGAAGAGTGAACTCACCACACATTTCAATCTGTTCAGATTGACGGTTTTGTTTTCTCTATGAGCCTCGACAAGATGTGCAACAATTTCGTTGATTGTCAACGCCATGGCCTCGCGTTGAGATCGCTGAACCCCATCAGCGGTCATTCTGTAAATTCGAATTCACTCCATGTGAAGGAAATCAATCCTGGAGAAGACGAAAACAGAAATTTTTATGTGAGGGTTTTCATACTTTTCTCAGCTGATTGACGTTCAATATGCAGTGGGGTCTGCGATTACACTGATATCCGTGTTACAGTAGAGCGATCTTCACATAATGACTTCCATCTCACCCCTCCCTCAGTCTCTAAACCAAGCTTCACTAAGCTATGAATGTAAGATGAATTTGCCACTTAAAAACCGAAATTTTAAAATTCAAAGGACACCGGCTTAGGCAGAAACCATTATCCGTCGGAATCCGGCGCTGACCTTAGCTACTCAGACACTCGCACCGGCCGGCGACCGTTCGACGGCCGGCTGGTGGGACCAAAGGTGATTTCACTCAGCCGCGTAGTCTACGACCACCGGCCGGTATTCGGACGGCCGCCGGCCGGAAAGGTACGGCCGCCAGCCGGTATGTGGGCGCCGCGATACGAAATGGCCATGTGACGCGGTTTCTCTTTTTCCGTATTTATTTCGCTCTGCCGCCTATCCTCAATACAAGCAAATACAAATCCGTATGAATATGTTTATTGTAACTGCATCATATAGGGAAACATACATAAATGAGATTGAATAATAGCGTAAAATCTCATACAACATGCAACTAGCGCTACGGACGCTTCTTTTTGTACACGGAAGACGAGGTTTTCTTGCATAGTACCATCCATTCGCGACAAGGGCTCGCATATCGTCCTTGATTCCGGACTGAAAAAAGTTCACTTTTGTATCATGTAAATGCCACATAGCAGACGATCTGCAAATGAGATAAGCTACCCTCGATATCAACCCATATGTCTTCCCTCAACATGACGTGAATTACATGGATTTACATGGATTGGTGAGGCGCCACCTCGCTTCAAGCTTGCGCCACGCGTTGCGTGCGCCTCTTTGGCATGGTGTGGCAAGAAGAACAACATTATTAAGCCTGGTCCATCTTATTTAGTGCACCAGGTCACGCCAAACGATGAGCCCGCAATGTGGCGCAAGCCGAAGCGAGGCGGCGCCTCACCAATCCACATAATCCACGTCATTGAAGGAAGACATATGGGTTAATATCGAGGGTACTTACAAATGATCCCGTTAACACCAAAACTTACCGACGGTGTTATATATGACTGGGCAGAGCAAATCAAAAAGCTCAAGCAATTGTAGCAGACAAGTAATGAACGTTGTTTTCCCTGAAACACACAAGGACTAGTTCCAAATTTTTGATAAGGACGCACCTGTCTTGTGGAGTCTATACTAGGAGTTAGGCGTAAGGTCAGTAGTCTTGCAGCAGAACACAAACTAGATAGATTCCAATTCCCATAGAAATGTGTGACATGTAGTACACACGTAATCCATGAATGCATAGTGCTGAGATACATAAAGAGTTAGTCGAAAGGTCATATGCTCCATCATGGGTAAGGATGATAAACAGCGAGTACAAGCAATGGTGCGCTGGTTGCATAGCGCAAGATCTCAATACCATGCATATCGCATTCGTCTCCTGAAAAAGATGGTTATGAAACGTGCCCATTCGTTCTTTTTTGTTTAGTCAAGAAGCTGAGCGAAATTCAAGCCTTGTACCCCTCAGTCAGCATGTTTCAGCTCTGCGTGTCACTTCCTTATCGCCATACAAGACAAGCAACAAATCTGAAAAAGGCGCTACAGATGTCATTGGGATTTTGTTTTGATTGTGAAAAAGAGGGCGGTATTAGCAAAGATAGAGTAAGATCACTACGGAATTCTAGGTATTTTTGAGTGACAAGCATACAAAACCTTCTTCTAACGATAAACGTAAACAAGACATGAATGAAGTAGAAAAATGGCGCTTAATCATAAACGAGGAGAAGTAGAGCGTTTGCTTACGCGGCTCAATCATGCAACTTTCAAATCCCGTTCACTTCCCGCGACATGGCAATGTTACCGGCTGGCGGCCGTTCGAGCGGCCACCAGCCGGTAGATTTCTTTGGAGCGGTCGCCGGCCGGTATTTAGCTCCGCCCAGATTTAAAGAGCGGCCGCCGGCCGGAAGGCCGTCGTCGGACGGTCGCCGGCCGGTGCGAGTGTCTGAGTACAGTATATAGCTAATGCGACCATAAAAGGCGACCCGGCTGCCTCTTACTTTTTCATTGATCTTACTTACTAGCGACCCTACGGGTCGCTAGCAAGTGGGTAGGGGCAGATACAATATAGGGGCTTATTTGTGATTATATATTTTTCCAAATAATTTTCCTATGCCTTTCCTAAGAACATTTTTACGAAAAGCATTCTACAAAAATTGTTCGAAGAAGCAATAATCTCCACAAATTTCGCATTTCTCGAAATTCCTGCTGCAACCATGCCTGGGGAATATTATTTTTCTCTCGTTTACCACACTCTTTCTGCAAATTTCCCCTCCTCACAGAGACATTCAGACACCCCCCCCCCCACTTTTCTACCCTCTCAAAGAGAATTTACTCTTCCATTTCTTCTCAACGATTTCCATAGAAGATCGTTATGGAAGTAGAAGAACACCTGTAGGTTTGGAAGTAGAAGTACATCCATAACAATTATGTGTACTACAAAAAACACTTTTCTCTCGGAATCAACTCCGACAGCAACTAAATCAATCGTCTAAGAACTTTGTCAGAAAATCCTTCAATATTTTCGCCAAAGGAATGTGAAGCTTTACTACAAAAGGAGATCCCTCCCCGAAAAGCACGACTACTGAGCCACCTAAAGACCGTCAATCATAAGAATTGCATGAACGTACCAAAAACCTGTTCCCCGGCCCGATCAAGTCGCCCTACGTGCCGCTTGAAGACCATTCCAAAATTAAAAGAACTGTCCCAAACGTACAAAAATCTGTTCCCCTGCCCGATCAAGTTGCCCTACGTGCCGCTTACAGACCATTTAAAAATTATAAGGACTGCTCCAAACGTACAAAAATCTGTTCCCCTGCCCGATCAAGTTGCCCTACGTGCCGCTTACAGACCATTTAAAAATTGTTCCCCTGCCCGATCGAGTTGCCCTACGTGCCGCTTACAGACCATTTAAAAATTGTTCCCCTGCCCGATCAAGTTGCCCTACGTGCCGCTTACAGACCGTTTAAAAATTATAAGAACTTTCCCAAACGTACAAAAATCTGTTTCCCTGCCCAATCGAGTTGCCCTACGTGCCGCTTACAAACCATTTAAAAATTGTTCCCATGCCCGATCAAGTTGCCCTACGTGCCGCTTACAGACCGTTTAAAAATTATAAGAACTTTCCCAAACGTACAAAAATCTGTTCCCTTGCCCGATCAAGTTGCCCTACGTGCCGCTTACAGACCATTTAAAAATTATAAGGACTGCTCCAAACGTACAATCTGTTCCCCTGCCCGATCAAGTTGCCCTACGTGTCGCTTACAGACCATTTAAAAATTGTTCCCCTGCCCGATCGAGTTGCCCTACGTGCCGCTTACAGACCATTTAAAAATTGTTCCCCTGCCCGATCAAGTTGCCCTACGTGCCCTTACAGACCGTTTAAAAATTATAAGGACTGCTCCAAACGTACAAAAATCTGTTACCCTGCCCGATCAAGTTGCCCTACGTGCCGCTTACAGACCGTTTAAAAATTATAAGAACTGCCCCAAACGTACAAAAATCTGTTTCCCTGCCCAATCGAGTTGCCCTGCGTGCCGCTTACAGACCATTTTAAAATTGTTCCCCTGCCCGATCGAGTTGCCCTACGTGCCGCTTACAAACCATTTAAAAATTGTTCCCCTGCCCGATGAAGTTGCCCTACGTGCCGCTTACAGACCATTTAAAAATTGTTCCCATGCCCGATCAAGTTGCCCTACGTGCCGCTTACAGACCGTTTAAAAATTATAAGAACTTTCCCAAACGTACAAAAATCTGTGCCCTTGCCCGATCCTACGTGCCGCTTACAGACCATTTAAAATGTTCTTCTGCCCGATCAAGTTGCCCTACGTGGCTTACAGACCATTTATAAATTGTTCCACTGCCCGATCAAGTTGCCCTACGTGCCGCTTGAAGACCGTTTAAAAATTATAAGGACTGCTCCAAACGTACAAAAATCTGTTCCCCTGCCCGATCGAGTTGCCCTACGTGCCGCTTACAAACCATTTAAAAATTGTTCCCCTGCCCGATGAAGTTGCCCTACGTGCCGCTTACAGACCATTTAAAAATTGTTCCCATGCCCGATCAAGTTGCCCTACGTGCCGCTTACAGACCGTTTAAAAATTATAAGAACTTTCCCAAACGTACAAAAATCTGTGCCCTTGCCCGATCCTACGTGCCGCTTACAGACCATTTAAAATGTTCTTCTGCCCGATCAAGTTGCCCTACGTGGCTTACAGACCATTTATAAATTGTTCCACTGCCCGATCAAGTTGCCCTACGTGCTTGAAGACCATTCCAAAATTATAAGAACTGTCCCAAACGTACAAAAATCTGTTCCCTTGCCCGATCAAGTTGCCCTACGTGCCGCTTGAAGACCGTTTAAAAATTATAAGGACTGCTCCAAACGTACAAAAATCTGTTCCCCTGCCCGATCAAGTTGCCCTACGTGCCGCTTACAGACCGTTTAAAAATTATAAGAACTGCCCCAAACGTACAAAAATCTGTTTCCCTGCCCGATCGAGTTGCCCTACGTGCCGCTTACAGACCATTTAAAAATTGTTCCCCTGCCCGATCAAGTTGCCCTATGTGCCGCTTGAAGACCGTTTAAAAATTATAAGGACTGCCCCAAACGTACAAAAATCTGTTTCCCTGCCCGATGATTGCCCTATGTGCCGCTTACTCACTGATACCTAGTTGAAAGCGCCAGCGGGACCCAATACACAAGCAAAAGCAAGGCTGTTATTAGATAAACGCTTCCAAAAGTATCAGCGAGACTAAGTTACTCACGCACTCTCTTGTCTACACGTGGAAGCAAGATAATCCTAAAGTGACTGTTCTTAGTTAGAGCATTTACCAAGAGTTGGGAACTTAGATGAATTTAGCTCAAACCCTGTTACGCAAATTGGCGTCACTTCAAAAGCAACTAATAAGAGTACAACATATTTGAAAGACACATTCTGGGTAACAAGCTCGAAAAAGCAGCTACAAATAATACATCCGGGCACTGGCGACCCAGTCTCAAAATCATTGCGACTCATGATTGCCTTTCGAAATACGTGTGACACTTTTACGAAAATATGCTTGGTCACTCGTTATGAAATTTGGCAGCGTTCCAAAACGCATGCCACTTGGCAGCAATCCAATTCCAAAGATCAGTGTATTTCATCATAATTTTTACGTCTGCGGCCTCCTCGTTTGCCATAATCCAACTATCAGAGGACTATTGCGTAATCAACGAATTCGTTATATATTACGTAGTGATCAGATCATAAAGTGGTCCTGCATTTGATATGATGTGTTGTTTATCCTCTGAGTCGTATATATATAACTAATCATTTCGCTATCCTTATTCAAGTAATGAATGGGGACCTTTTGCTAACAACTGATGTTGATGGATGACGTAGAAGTATCACTTCACTTACGAAATCTTTTGTTGTTAAGGATTTCAAAACAAGACTGTCATTGGTAATGTCAAGTTTGAAGAGTTAGCTATTCTCTTAACTTGATCCCTCTACCCTTAGTTTCTTCCCTTTGTACTAACATAACAATTCTGACTAGATTCTTTAATCATTATAACATAAATATAAATGTGGGGGAACATAATTGGGGAGGGGACCACCGAGCACCCGGGGAGTGCCAGCTCATCTGAAGTTGGTGGCACCGCCCAAGTCGGCCTGGAGACTGTCGGACCATCTAATTGGTCTGCGTCTCGACATGTCCGTTCCATGGCAAAGCTCGTCCTCGAGCTTTTGAGGTTGGCCATGGTTATTGAGTTGTCATCAGTGGCTTCGCTGGGAAGTTGCCCATATGCATGGTTGCGATATCATCATTGAGTTGGACGTTGCCCATATGTACAGTTGACGTTGCCCATTCGTGTAGTTGATGTTGCCCATTTACCATTTGCTGCTTTGGTTGAGGGCAGACTTGCTTCAGGCGTTAGTCGCTGAATTTTTCTTCACAAGGACAGGGGGAAAAGGGATGAGAAGGCACGCTTTCGCACGCCCTGTCAGATAAATGAGCTCGTCTCGAGCTGAAGAATGGGAGCAACATGGACGAATGATGAGATGATTCAAATGATGAGCAAATCGGGGTACGGATGAGGCTTCCGTAATCCTTTGGGGAGGAGGATAGGGATTTCCGCATGGTGGTAAAATGTGGCAGAGGGTATAGGGAGGCGGACAAAGACCGCACTGGTGATGAAATGTGACATACGGGTATATGATGACATCCGCGAAGAAAATAGTGAGCATTGTTGTAGAAAACGAGATTACTGGCATGGAATAATAAAGTGCGGTTCATAATTATACGAACACCTTATATTTTGAAAGTTTTTGAACTTTTTGGAGGAAACTCAGAAAGCCGTTTGTACCATGCGATAGAGCACAGCCGAAAACGGTATATGATCCATAAGAATGGAAATCGATGTCAATCTTAGGAGTGTTTTTGCGCCTAATGCGAATTTTGAGCGGTTCATAATTATACGAACA